GCACTCTCTGTGTGCTTCCTCTTCAGCTCCCTCGTGCGCCACGTACTGATGCCGGAGCCGGAAGATGATGTCATTTTCCGGCTCCGGCATCAGTACGGTGCGCGAGGGAGCTGAAGAGGAAGCACACAGAGAGTGCTCCCTCGCGCGCCGGGCCGCCCGCCGGGTGTCAGCTGGGCCAGCCTCTGGGGGGCCCTGAGCTGACCGGCTGCTGGGCCCCCCAGGAGAAGAGGCTGGCCCTGTGGGTACATACCGGGTCGCAGGGCCCCCTGCGACCCCGGTATGTACCCACTGAATGTGGGGCCCGGACGACCTGAGCAGTCCTGGCCCCCCAGGACCGCCGGGCCCATGACAACCGTTGCGGTTGTCATGCCCTGATGGCGGCCCTGGTGACTAGGGTTCATAAACAAAGGGATTTAACTCCTAAATGGCAGAGGATTGAGCAGTGAGGCTGCAGGGGCATGTTCTATACACCAAAACTGCTTCATTAAGCTAAAGTTGTTCAGGTGACTATAGTGTTCCTTTAATGGAGTATCCTTGCAGATTAAATAACAATGATAGTTGTACCCTTCATATAAAAGAAGAAAATACTAAAAGATCATTATCAGTGATCCTCAATTTTTCAATTATTGATGTTTTAACAATTAGTGTAATCATTTTTAAGGCTATTTTTCTGTTTCTCATTTAATACGTTTTTTGTTTTTTTATTAAAGGTATATACAACAAAACCTACTCCTGGATACCTATTAGATTTTGTCTAATACTACCCTTTTCTTTTTTGCACATTTGGGGATTTTTTTGTGGAGTCCCTACTATTTCCAGTTGAGTGGTTTACAGAGCACTACTAACTCTCCTATTGAGGTTTTTCAAATCTCTACCCCTATACATAAGAAAAGGCAGTGTTTACATTTCTAAATAGGAACACTACAAGTGGCCATCACTCAGATAGCCACTAGAGGTTCTTTCTAGTCCAGTGTTGCCCAATGTGCAGCACTGGTGTTCAGTTGCCCCACACTCTACATGGAGGTGCTGAAAGTTCTCCATAGAGATGCATTGATTCATCTCTATGAGAAGATGCTGTTTGGCAGAGCGCTGCATTTTTCTGCACATGCACAAAAGCTTCTCAGTGCTTTCCTTTTTTAAAGCATTGGATGGTCAGAGATAATGAAGAATGATGATCTCAGCCATGGAGACAGGCCCAAGTGCCTTGAGAAAAAGGGTGAGTAAAAACACCTTTCTCGTGAGATCTAAGGGAGGCTGGGGACCTAAATAGTTAAAAACACTATAGTGTCTGGAATATATGTAAATATTCTTGACTCTGTAGTATTCTTTTAAATCCACTTTTGAATTCACAGACTTGTATCTTACTAGATAATGAAATTAATTATTTTTTCTTTTCTCTGATTATTGTTTCTAATAATTCCCTTTTAGTTTTTTTCCCTAATTAACTCCACAATTTGTTCATAAGGCATTTCAGTGGTATATGTCCGCTTACCTTGTGTATTGTGGGGATATTTATGGGGCGAAAATATTAAAAATAATATTTTCATAAAAATTTATTTAATAATTTTATTATATCAAAATTGATATCTCAAGAATTACCCACTATTTTTAATTCTCTTATATCCTAGAGAACAATCATTATAAGAATTTTACTCCATACAATAAATCACAAATGTTTTATAAAAATATAATTTATTGTGACAATAATAATAAAATAATAATATGTAACATGCGTTATAGTAATCAGTGAATATTAAAGTATAACATAAGTATACAATACAATGTTTAAACACAATACAATGGCTAACAGCATCAACTGTCAAGACTTACAAGATTTATGATAGGGTACTTCGCACAGAAAAAAAAACCTAACTTCACAGGACACAGAATTACTCAGAATGCACAGCACAGAAAAAAGCTATAAAATCTTGGCTAACAGTTAGATCAACTGAGTAACCCTTTCAATGCTGGCTAGATCCTCCTAGGCATATAATATCCTATTCTATTGCAAATTTTAACTAAAGCAATGTTCATAGCTGATCATCAACCATTAACCATTCCATGCAACCATCCAATAAAAAATCATCTACCAGATTTTACTTTAGCCGAATTTTAATTTCCCTACATAAGATTTTCTATCTTATTTCAGAGCAAGTCAATATTTCTGGATAACATGTGTCATGCTAACCTGTTGGTAAATAATACCGTTAATATACTGTTAATGTTAATTCCACCTGCAGTAATGGAATTTTTATAACCATTAGTGATGTCCCGAACGGTTTACCGAACGGTTCGCCATGAACGGTTTGACACGGACTCATCATTGAGTAAACTTTGACCCTGTACCTCACAGTCAGCAGACACATTCCAGCCAATCAGCAGCAGACCCTCCCTCCCAGACTCTCCCACCTCCTGGACAGCTCACTAAGAATGCAGCTTCACAATGGATGCTGTCCAGGAGGTGGGAGGGTCTGGGAGGGAGGGTCTGCTGCTGATTGGCTGGAATGTGTCTGCTGACAGGGTCAAAGTTTACTCAATGATGAGTCCGTGGCGAACCGTTCGTGGCGAACCGTTCTCCAACCGTTCGGCGAACCGTTCGGGACATCACTAATAACCATATATTCTTTAGTTAACTAAGATTTCTAAGATGAAATGTGACAATTTATCCAGGCATATATTGCTGCTATGTAAAATTGTAATTAATTTAAATTAATTAAATAAAACCAGCATAATTGCCAGTTATGTTGTAAACGTTCTTATCAGATGCTCTTATCTGATGATTAGATAATCCCAATAATTTGAATGCAAGTATGATTGATGATTGTATGGAGGTGTGTATGTAATATTGAAAGAGGTGTTTGGTTTGGAAAGTTGAGTCAAAGAGAGTTTGAGATAGTGTAAGTCCCAGAGTGTCATGAATATCTCTGAATGTGTGTCTTGAGTCTGTCCTCAATTCTCCTTTGTCCTTACTTTTTAAAGGGCCAGACTCTCTGTACATCAGTTGATCTGACTAATAGGGCACTGAAGGTGTGGCTAACCCACAGACCACCATCTAGATTTTGGTCAGTAGATGGCACCCTTACATCACCAAAATTTCTTGTCCTCGAAAGAGTTAACTAATTTTGATTACGATTCTGACGTAATTTCATCTTATCTTAATGGCCTGCGTAAATCGCAAGACGTGTCACATCAAAGCATTTCTTTCTCTCTTAACTGGACTTTGTGTCTATAATTTCGATCGTAATTTCTAAAATTGACACCTCCTAACCTTAATTTCTTAATTTCAATGGGACCTTGTAAGATTTAGAAAGTAAAATTAATTACTACGTGTTATCTATCACTAGTGTCTGGCTTTCTTGTGTCTGGTCCTTTTGTGAAGCTGTGTGTGTAGGATTATTTTTCTATTCCACTAACATTTATTAAATAATATGATATTTCTTCATGAATATTTACCCGTGAATGGTCTGTATTATTAACATAATACTGGCTATATGTAATTAATATAATAGTAAAATAAGTGTATAGTGGTTAGATGTGTGTGTGTATATGTGTATATATATATATATATATATATATATGTGTGTATGTGTATATATATATATATATATATATATATAATGTGTGTATATATATATATATATATATAATGTATATACTTGTCTCTGGGTTGTATTCCACCCCCATCCTTGCTGTGTTTACATAACACATTCCTTAGCTCAGGCTCAAATGATTAGAGTTTCAGATAGGAAAGAAATTTTGTGTCTGTCTTGCCTGAAATCCAAAATGGAATCCGTTCTGTTTTAAGTGTGACTGGCAGTAGACCCTTTTAATTTCTATCTTAGCACAAAGTGTCTGCCGATATAAATATTCTGACAGTATCAGTCAGGGGGATATCACCGGCTGGTGTCACATTGCAGGTTATTGGGGACACTCCTATCAACTCTCAGTTTGTCCCCAGCGATTCTCACGCCAGTCGTGATAACCCTGCCTCCTTTTATGACACAGCTAATGAGCGCCGACGTCATAACGCTAAGAATGCCACAGCCCGACAAGGTGTTCAAGCAAGAACATTTTGGGGGCGTGGTTACCTACCTAACACGGTTACCTACCTAACACTGTATTTAAAAAGAAACCAGGGAAAGACTCATTGCCCTGTTGTGATTCTTGTTTGACCCAAGAGCGCATATTCCGTATTGGTATTCTGACTTCGGCTTTGTTTGACTATTCCTCCTTCCGTGTTCCTTTGACCTCGGCTATTGCATTATCGTTGATCCTGATTTCTGGTTCCCCTGACCTCGGCTCGCTATTTGACTATTCTTTGTGTGTGTAGTATTAGTCCGGCCATCCAAATGTCTTGTATACATTACTAGTATTTGCATTCTGTGTGTAGGATCCCTGAACGTTCCTGACAGTATACCGCTGAAACATGTGGTATATACCGCTTTAGCCGCTTTACCGTATATACATGTTAGACATGCCCACTAATTAAGGTTCCAAGTGGTCTGGATACCATACACTGGCTTTTTTGGTAGAGATTTGAAGACAGTGGGAGGTTGAAAGATCTCCAAATTACATTAATGAATTTCTGTCTGTTTCTTTTCTGAACACATTGGTATGAAACCAATTCTTAGTCTTGATGTCTATGTCAAAAACATGAAGTCCTATTTAAATCATTTTGCAAAATAGGCACACTACACTGATTTACAAAATCACGAAATGCAAGTATGGCTTCCAATGTGCCACTTCACAATCCAACACGTCATCGATGTAGCACCACTAATAGGTGGCTTGTATTCCACTTTTCTCCATCTATTTTAACACTTTTAAGGATGTCCTTTACAAATGATTTAATGTGAAATAGACATGGTCTTAAAGTTTGTACAAAAACCTGGTTATAGTTAACAACAGAAAGCCTACACAGTGATCAGCCACAACATTAAAACCACCTACCTAATGTCATGTAGGTCCCCTTCGTGCTGCCAAAAACACACGTCTGATGAGTCCAGGCATTGACTCAACAAGACCTCTGAATGTGTCCTCTGGTATTTGACACCAAGACATTAGCAGCAGATCCTTTAAGTCCGGCATGTTGCGAGGTAGGGCCTTCATGGATTCCAGCGCATCCCACAGATGTTCAATCGAAATCTGGAGAATTTTGAGGCCAAGGCAACACTCTGATTTCTTTGTCATGCTTATCAAACCTTTCCTGAACAATTTTTGCAATGTTGCATGGTGCATTAGCCTGCTAAAAGAAGCCACTGCCATGAAGGGTTATACATGTTCTGCAACAATCTCTAGGTAAAGGCTACATGTCAATGTAGCATCTACATGAATGCCAGGTCCCTAGGTTTCAAATTATAATATTTTTCAAAGCACAACACTGCCTCCGCAGGCCTGCCTTTTTCCCATAGTTCATCCTGTTGCAATCTCTTCCCCAGGTAACCAAAGCACATGCCAGCATCCATTCAATTGATTAAACATGAATCATCAGACCTGGCAAGCTAATTCCATACTCCATGGTCCAGTTCTGTCGCTCACGTCCCCAATTGAGGCGCTTTCGGCAATGGACAGGGGTTATCATGGGCACTCTGATCGGTATGCAGCCACTCAACCCCATACATCGCAAACATGCGAAGCACTGTGTGTTCTCACACTTTTCTATCATGTCCAGCATTGTTTTTAAGCAGTTTGAGCCACTGTAGCTTTTTCATCCCTCCAGACATGAATCAGTGAGCTTTGGGTGCTCATGGACCTGATGCCGGTTCACTGGTTATTCTCCATTGCACAACTTTTGGTAGGTACAAACTACTGCACACCAGGAAAACCCCACAAAACATGCCATTTTGAAGATGCTCTGACTCTTCTAACCCTCACTATTTGGCCCTTGTCAGATTCCCTCAGATCTTTTCATTGCCCATTTTTCCTGCTTCTAACACACGGTATTTATATAATTATTGTTATTATCTTCACCTGTCAGTTGTTTTAATGTTTTTGATGTTCATTGTAAATGCTACAATAATCCTACCAGGTGGATTAAGTGAATACTTATGCATTTTTGGTGTTATCCTCCTGGGAACCGAGGAAAGCGATTTGATGAAAAGGAAGAGGAAGTTCCTAGCATACCATCGTATCACATGTCATATCCCTGGAAAGCCCAGGATGTCCTCTTTACAATACAGCAGGGATTAGCTCAAAAGAAAGAAAAGGAAATGCATGTGAACAAAATGTCCAGTAGAGAGGACACAAGTTAAAGGACCACTATAGTGCCACATACTCGTTTTCCTGGCACCTCAGGGTCCCCCTCCCGCCGGGCTCTCGGGAGAGGAAGGGGTTAAACTTACCTCTTTCTCCAGCGCCGGGCGGGGAGCTCTCCTCCTCCTCTCCTCCCTCTTCTCCTCCTCTTCGGCTGAATGCGCATGCACGGCAGGAGCCGCGCGCGCATTCAGCCAGTCCATAGGAAAGCATTCACAATGCTTTCCTATGGACGCTGGCATCTTCTCACTGTGATTTTTACAGTGAGAAACGCGAAAGCCCTCTAGCGGCTGTCAATGACACAGCCACTAGAGGCTGGATTAACCCTAACATAAACATAGCAGTTTCTCTGAAACTGCTATGTTTATAGAAAAAAGGGTTAACCTTAGATGGACCAGGCACCCAGACCACTTCATTAAGCTCAAGTGGTCTGGGTGCCTATAGTGGTCCTTTAATAGGCTGCGTCTCAGGAGGTTATAAAAATACTGGGATAATGGGTACACTTTTAAGGTGTAATATTAGCACCAAAATGCTCATCGGGCAGTTTCTAACCCGCAGTTTTTTGTTTTACTAGTCATTTTTTTTTTTACTATGATGTTATGGTCATTGTATAACTCATTCTGCCGTTTTGTGCTACAATGTAATTACAGGACCCACCATTGTGACATGCTACAAGAGCTAAACTGGCTGTCGCTGGAATCCAGACGCACCCTTCATCTTTCCAGCCTTGTGTTTAAGAGCTTTTCTGGGAAACTCCCACCCTACCTGAGCAAAATGCTCTCCCTGGCTGTTCCCACCTCCTATAACATCCGATCCAGTACCAGCACTTTATTTAGTCTACCTCAATACATAGAAACATAGAATGTGACGGCAGAAAAGAACCCTTCGGCCCATCTAGTCTGTCCAATTTTCTAAATACTTTCATTAGTCCCTGGCCTTATCTTATAGTTAGGATAGCCTTATGCCTATCCCACGCATGCTTACACTCCTTTACTGTGTTAACCTCTATCACTTCAGCTGGAAGGCTATTCCATACATCCACTACCCTCTCAGTAAAGTAATACTTCCTGATATTACTTTTAAACCTTTGTCCCTCTAATTTAAGACTATGTCCTCTTGTTGTGGTAGTTTTTCTTCGTTTAAATATAGTCTCCTCCTTTACTGTGTTTATTCCTTTTATATATTTAAATGTTTCTATCATATCCCCCCTGTCTCGTCTTTCCTCCAAGCTATACATGTTAAGATCCTTTAACCTTTCCTGG